GACTAATAGCGTCAGTCGTATAAATGCACTGTGGAGAAGACAGGCAGGAAAATCGGACCAATCGAAACAGTAGAATGTAAAAAAACTCAGAATCAGTTGGTAGTAAGTGGTGACTTATGGTCATAAATGCAGTCAACAAAGCTGACACAATAATACAGACTTTGATTAAGCCGTTTTACCAGATTCATTTGCGAGTAGGGATGATCTTTATGCACCCTTTAAGCATTACAGAAGGCCACTACTAGGTTAAATGTGGTTAACAAACAAGAGCAAAGTTCTTAAACGCGGTACTTCATAGGGACTGGGATAAAGCATGGTTAAATAAAATGATTAGAACCTGACATGTATCAAAGTATGAGACCTAAAATCTCGTAGTTAGCATACTGTCATATGGCGACTAAAAAGCGATATTGAACAACTTTTACATCAGAAAAACACATGCGATCAACCTCGCGCAACCGCTACTACCACGATGACAGTTTTGAAGAATATCCATTCAGTAAAAACCAACCACAGCATTTGGCAACCAAAATTTGCCGTGATAAACTCCATAATGACGTTGAAATTAGGATAGAAGCACTATTAATTCTTTGCCGTGGGAAAGAGGAAGAGGCATAAAGAACACCACTCACATTTCCCGTAGGGTGCCCAATCTTCAACGCATTCCTGAAGGTCTATTGAGACGTAGAGTTAAGGGAGGTGCAAACACAAATGAAAGGAGAAAGACAAGAAATGGAAGAAAATATTACATTTCAAAGAATACACTCAATCAGGACCCAAAGGCTCTTCAGCTGAGGATCGTCCGCTACTATCTCCGAATAAGGTGTCTCCGCGACCTAAACAGGTAATGAAATAGTATGAATTCGAATGTGCACTGCAGCGAAATAGCCTAATGAAACATCTCTGCTTCGAAAATGAAGCCCCTAAAACCGACTGAAAACCCAGTTTAACCATTTCGAATGTGATACCTTGAAGACATGGATAACTTTAAAGTGCTAGAGGCGTATTAAGCATCGAAAATACGACAGAAGACGGAGAGTTTCCAAGTTCGAATTCTATGTTTTGAGCAGCACCACTTGCGTGAAATACAAATTGTCGGATACCGTCTCTCTAAAAAACTAAGCAACTGAAATTCGCTGTGATCAAATAGCGAATGTGACCAACGGACACAGATGCAAAAACAATTTGGAACACCAGTTTCTAACAAAGCCGTCAAACAATAAGTAACCGGACATATAGTGCTCAGAATCGCCTGCACGACTGAACTGTTTCTGCACTACAAGTTACATAAGGAATGGAATGGTTTTTGGGGTTTAATTGAGACAACCACAGAATGGGATACAAGGAATACGTAGTAGCTACCCATACGTAATTAATATTATGGATGAACTGCAGCAGATACGGAGGGGATTGAATTATTGATGACGCACAGAACAAACCTCAAGACCATAGCCGGCATCGGCTCGTTTCTGCATAGACGAATCGAGGTTGGCGTTGAACTTGACAGCCAACTGCGCGATGCCATCGGTGAGGCGCTCAGGGAGACGACTACGGCGGTGGTAGTGGCGACGACGGAGGGATGGCGCAGAGGAAGAAGGCGGGACCACTAAACCCTCTTGCCCCACTGCTGAAATGCCAGGATGTGTAAAGGTGTAACCACGAGGACCGAAGAGACCAGTGCGGTCAAGCCCCAGCCAGGCGAAACCGACAGTCCACAGTAGTGTGTGGTTGGGTGACCAAGTCTATAAAATGGAGGTTATAAGGGGTGCTGCATTGCGTTTATGCTTAAAGCAGCAGAACGACAAGTGATCAAGGCTAAAAATTTTGTCAAATGCAATGATGATAGTTTGAGGATCAAAAAATCATTCGCAAAGAACAAAAGCTTTTAAATTAATTTCTTTACGTTAATTTACTTCACAAGTCTATGCTAAAGACTGTCCAGAAAGGTCGACACAGCATTCAATGCAACGGCACAACGGATGCTCAGAACAAGAGTACTCCCCAAAAATCTCTGAATCTCAAGTTCTATGCTGTGACCCAGAGTGATCCATGTGACAGTGATTGAAAGTGGCGAAGACGCAGCCATAAAAAATCACTACAATAATTTCCCAGGTGAATTACCAGTTGAATAAATCAAACCATTCAGACCAGTGAGTAAAAGCACATATTTATAATTATATTAACATAATACCTGTCCAGAGATGAAAGGCTATATGGCAACTCACAAGAGCGGTCATTTCGTTAACCTTGATGACGTTAAGGCAGCCCATGTGATCGATGGTGATAATGCAATTTACGATGGAGCCGTGCCAGGCAAAGGCGACAAAGGGAACGACGGTCTTGGCCACAGAATCTCCATCGTCATCTCCACATACTGCATAAGAAATGCTATAAATTGTACCAGCAGCTTTATAAAGGTGCAGGACCATATTGATTTGAATGAATGAGGGTTTTAAAACGACTCATGAAGAAAGTGAATTAGTTCGTTTTGGTTTAGCCAAGTGACCCCTTGTTTCGGCGTAAACAATGTGAGCATTTCCAATTTTATTAATAACAAATAAGGGAGCACAAGGAATTACTCACAGCGCCTAACCATGATTTTACACTATTTTGACCATTGACGAACTCAAAAATCAACCAAATAGGAATTCAGATAAAATACCTCTTCGAGAGTAATGCTTTTTACCATACCTGTTTGGCATTCCTACAATCAAACATTCAAATCTGTGCAGTGACCTAAATTAAAAGACGAGTATTCACAAAAAGAGCAAACTTCAAATCGAAGTTCCAACAATACAAAAAAAACAAACCGCTAAATCTTGCGCTTTTGCAACATCCTTTAAGTTTTGCAATCCGTCGCACGGAGGAGGCTATTAGGGAATTTTCAAGCCAAGCCTTTCACTTTATTAAAAGGCCATTTCGAAAGTTTTGCGTCTCCCCCTCTAAGCTCATCATTTAGAAATGAGTCAAAAAAGTTCCGCTACATTTTGACAATTAATTAATTCAAATTAAATTAACTAATTAAACTTTGAAATAAATGTTGCGAAAGAACTGCTCATTAAATAGTAAGAAAAGGAGCACTATCGAAAGGAATTAAATCTAGGCGAATTGGCTGACTTTAGTACTTTCTACTGACTTCAGTAATATTGGGCCCTAGCGGAAAAGCAGACTTACATGTAGTAGCACGGAGTTCAAAGAGAAATTGTTCGCATTCTTCCATGGGTCGAGAGAAAGTAAGGAGAGCGTTGTAGACTCTAATGTCGGTAGAATCAGCTAGGAGGACGCCCAGCCAACCCTCCCTATGGTAAGGTAGTAATAGGGTAGAGTTGGGATCAAAGTTATGTCCGATGTGTTTCAATCCCAACTATTTGAAAAGAATTGTCAGAGTCGGTAAGCATACCATTCCAAAATGAAAGCTTAGAAAAGAGACTTAGAAACCTTACCTCACTTCATGAAACTGAAAACCCCGTTAGCTTTTAAGCTTGGATTCATCATAACTAAATGTGCAATACTTGGAAATCGAAAAAAATACCGACCATATATCCATTTGGCTAGTTCAAGAACACAAGATCCCGCCAATGCTTAAAGAAACCAAACACCTATGGTGAACGATCGGAGCAGAGCTGAGTAGGGAATGGCAACAGAAATGAGGAGCACTAGTTGCGTTACGAGACAGACATCTAACAAACGCAAGCAATATGTTCCAAGACGGTCATCAGTCAGTGGAGACTTTCAAACCTTCTCTTAACTCGCTAAATCATTCCCCACTAATGGAACACTACTACCTCAAGATAAAAGGGTATTTTCGAAAATGAGAGAGTTGAACGAACAGTTTTGCTCTCTAAAGGTGAGTAAATCAAATAATCACGACAACCATCATTACCCTTATTCATTGATGCGCAACGCTGCGAAATTACCATGTCAATGATAAAGTCACTTCAAGCCCATAAAAACGATCAGCATTAGGGAAAGATGCACTAAGAATCACCTCAACGGACTCCATTTCATGCAAACAACATCCTTCTGTTCCGTGAAAACGTAGATCTATAGGTATAGAAAATGGAA